TCTCTTTATCACACTTGAGACAGCGTCGACTTTCAATGAGTTTGCTGTCAGATATGACAGAATAAAAAATAATATTGTTTGGTTTTTTATTGTACCCTCTACTGTCTCTAGCCACTTCTATATGCAACCAATTTATTACTTTTACTTTTGATCAGTTTAAAATATGAACGACAACTAACTTAAATCACATCAATTGATGCTACTTCAATACAATTCCGAAGTGCTGGTTCATTTGGAGTTCGATATCTATAGACAATTTAATACGTAATTTCCAGACACTCGATTTGTAACAAATATTTTTTTTTTTTCAATGAACTCAAGAGTTGAAATATCGCTACCCAATTTGCTAATCTTAAGTGCAATAACGTCACAAGTTTATAGCGGTACGTTCCTGTTGAAAAATATGAATGAAACTATTTACAATGATAGAAATACGGAACACGAGACATCAATCTTATCAGTGATCGAAAGTGGAATACTTGAATACAAAGAAGTGAAGAAGTTATAATTTTCTCCAGAGAATTGAATTTGCTATCTGGGACAGCCAGCAGCCATACTGTTGAACAACGACTGTTGATTGCGTGATTTTGAAGTGGCTATTTCTGTGGCGGTGGATAGTTGATTTCGATCCAAGTTAGTATTTGCATATGAGCTTGGGACTTTCTAGCTTCATTCGTACCAGATCCTCTTAGGAAAAAAGTTCGAAATTGCGTGTATATATAGGCGAGTTCGACGTTCAGAACCAAGGTGCTTTCATCACTCGCGCCTGCTATCGCCGGCCGTGATCCCTATTCAAATTATTAAAAGGGTCTATGAAATGTTCTGCCAGCCGAATCGTGGGATCGTTGGCGATTTCCATTTTGACACGCACCAAACATGAAAGAAAATAAAAAAAGAACTTAAATTTGTGTCTTTCCCTATAGAAAATGGAAATCAAGAAGTTCATCGAGCCATTATATCGGTTGGGTGCGTTAATCGACTGAGGACAAATGATTACGTGGCTTTCTCCAATGGATCTATGCGATCTATCTTTGTGAAATTCAATGCATTAAGTTTATTCGTGTTTTATTTATTCTTTGTATGTTATACATCAATGCCCAATAGGCATTGCCAATGATGATATGATTTTGCAAAAATTTAATTTTTCAACCATTTTTTCACGAGGTTTTGAAGTTTCACTTTGGAAGCGATGAGTTGTTCTGAGTCTCTTCCAGTCTTTATTGAAGCCATATCTTGACAATGAGAAATGCCTACGAATGAAAATTACGCAATTTAGAATAAAACGATGTAATTCAGAACAGGTGAATTTGGTTATTGAGCGAACCTGTGATGACGATGCCTGGCGAATGTTCGTTTAAGTCTTCCAAAATGCCCATTCGATGCCAAGGATCTAGCGACCCGTGCGTAAAGTATACATTTGTTACGGCCGGATCGAGTCCACCATACATAACATTAGTGTGATTAACATTATTCTCAACTGATGAAGCTCCAAATCTGGAAACAATACTCAGTTGGAAAAATATGGCTTAAATACAAATTCAAATGACGTACGCATCACCAAAAACATCCCGACAAAGTGATAAACAATATTCGACGGGTGAATTTGATCCGAATGGCTGGTCGTTAGAGTTGGTTGTCTGATACCATCCATATTCTGCACAAGTTTGGTAAAACCATGGACGAGTAGCAGAAGCGACAGTCGAATTTTTCATTTCTTCGATCTCGTGTTCGTAGGTGATTGAAACACACTTCTCACCTGATGTCAAGAATCCCTGAAGGAATATTCGAGACAAGGGATAAAGTTCATGACTCTGAACACCATTTGCTGAATTGAATGTTTTGTTAGACAAAAATTCGCAGTATTTTTCAATTTGGCCATTCCTACAAGATTGAAGTAAATTAGATTTTGATAAATGATGCCAGAAAATAAATGAATATCTTACCTGTAACCTTGGACGAGACCTGAGAAAATATCCTTTATGTATGAAACAAAATTCCAAATATCTCTCTTATTAGTTATATCAAATCCATCACAAATTTTAAACAATGCTTTTAAAGTATCGATATCATGGCTGTCAAGGAGTTTTTCTAAGGATTTAAAGGTGGTTTCGATGGTCTGATAGCATTCATCTCCACCGATTTCACTAATGGATTTTCCAACAGTTTCAGTGTACTCAAAATAATTGACTTTTGCTTGAAACGGAGCACTTGAAGCCCATGCTCCATTCACCAAATGTGGATATTTCTGCCGAAACCAAGCGGCCATCGTCGCGGAATATGAACCACCTACCATAATTACACCACCGGTGGCGTTTAATTCTTTGTCTGAAGTGATTTCTCTGACGAAATGCGCCAAGTCAGCCAAAGACTGATCAACACTTAAATATTTAAGATTTTCAGTGGAAGTTGTACTAGAAAAAGATAAACGTTTCTTGTTGTAACAATAAACCATCTGAGCACTGAAATTTTTTTTGATGAAAATTGCATTTGAATTTTTAGTCGAAAGTACCTACTTTGTGGGCCAGCTTTTTCCGTAAAATCGATGCTCGGTATAAATCAGAAGTCCGTTATTTTCTTTTGCCATATCATAAATGAGTCGACCAGGCAAAATATGACCTTCACTTATTTTCCATTCTCCTCCGATCATTATGAAAACTGGTCCACCGTTTTTGAAATGAACCTCATTTTTCAAATATCGCTAAAATTCAAATTTAAATTGATTGTGGGTTTTTGGCAGCAAGTTTTTATTTCTGTAAATACCATTTGAAAAGTGTTTAGATTTTGGTGATCGAAATTATCGAGACGCTGTGTTATGTAGTGCTCCGTAACTTGATCAGCTTTATCCAAATTATATTCATACGGCGGCTCATGGAATATCAGCTCATGTCTCTTTATCACACTTGAGACAGCGTCGACTTTCAATGAG